GTCTAGATATGATTTTTAGAATATGAAACGTCATCCATCCATATGTAGATTATAAACATGTATTATGTATATAAGGCTATGACAGGTTTTGAAAAATGCCGCCAGTGTAATAAAGTTTGCTCTTTATGCACTTGAATGGAACTCCTGACAGCAAAATTACGTCTAGATATGCTTTTTTAGAATATGAAACGTCATCCATCTATATGTAGATTATAAACATGTATTATGTATATAAGACTATGACAGGTTTTGAAAAATGCCGTCAGTGTAATAAAGTTTGCTCTTTATGCACTTGAATGGAACTCCTGACAGCAAAATTACGTCTAGATATGATTTTTTAGAATATTAAACGTCATCCATCCACATGTAGATTATAAACATGTATTATGTATATAAGGCTATGACAGATTTTGAAAAATGCCGCAAGTGTAATAAAGTTTGCTCTTTATGCACTTGAATGGAACTCCTGACAGCAAAATTACGTCTAGATATGCTTTTTTTAGAATATGAAACGTCATCCATCTACATGTAGATTATAATAAACATGTATTATGTATATAAGGCTATGACAGGTTTTGAAAAATGCCGCCAGTGTAATAAAGTTTGCTCTTTATGCACTTGAATGGAACTCATGACAGCAAAATTATGTCTAGATATGATTTTTAGATTATGAAACGTCATCCATCTATTTGTAGATTATAAACATGTACTATGTATATAAGGCTATGACAGGTTTTGAAAAATGCCGCCAGTGTAATTAAGTTTGCTCTTTATGCACTTGAATGGAACTCCTGACAGCAAAATTACGTCTAGATATGATTTTTTAGAATATTAAACGTCATCCATCCACATGTAGATTATAAACATGTATTATGTATATAAGGCTATGAAAGGTTTTGAAAAATGCCGCCAGTGTAATAAAGTTTGGTCTTTATGACACGTCGCAAAAAGTTCGCGCACATATTGTTACACATTTTTGCTTTTTAACACCAAAGAATGTGACGTTTTTTTTTTGAGAAAAGTGTACACATATGGAAATCCTTTCGTCCTCCACATTTACCTGTTTATTTCAAAATATTTAAGGCGAATAACTCTGATATCGAATATGTATAAACAATGAGTTGGGGGCATCATAAAACACGAATCAATTGTTATTTCAGGTGAATTAAATATATGTGCTGCTGTGTTTGAAAAAAGGTGACCGGTATAAATTCGCCATATTTTAATGAATTTTGAAAACCTTTCGTACTCCACTTTTCCACATACAACAGAAAACACATACGTTTGCGAACAAAATCAACTATTTATTGATAAACTAAAGTTTAATCATGTATGACATATTAAAAATTGGTCTCCTATTTTTGTTTAATGTACACCTGAAAAGGTAAAGGTAAAAAAATGAGCAAAAAAGGTCGCTGTCGACAGATTCTATTTTTCAAACTATATGACGTCACAATATGGGACGCTCACTTGAATTCATCCTTTGAAATTACACTTCCTTCTACCTTCATCAAGATGACAATAAAGCAAAATAGTCAAATATTGTTTGACTTGTATGCGTTTAAAGACGAAAAATAATTCAAAATGTAATGTGTCGACAGCGGATATTTGGCCGATATTGCGGTAAAAAACTCTTTTTTAAAAAGAATGCGCAAGAAAGAAAGAAGTGTACTTGATTTGAAAACTTTAACAAAGCAGCTTTAAAATGATATATAATTTTAATAAGAATATTATCTTATATTCCGAAGAATTAAAGTTACATTCATGCGATACCCTAAAAACACAAGTGCGCCAGCTTTTTGCGACGTGTCTATGCACTTGAATGGAACTCATGACAGCAAATTTACGTCTAGATATGATTTTTTAGAATATGAAACTTTACAACCTATATGTACAGGGCGTTCAATAAGTATTGCTAATTTTGCTATAACTTTTGTTCTATTTGTCTTTTCCTTATGAAACTTTTACAACATAAGGTACATATATCTGACTTGATTCCATAACGATTATAAGACAATCAATTCAGTATTAACAAAGTTATGGTTACTACGGTAACCGGTGTCATGGATATGCGGGGCAAAGTTTTGACGTCACTTTGGACGACATTTTGAGTGTTGAAAGCAGTATCATTAATACTGTTAAACTCTTGGGATATGCAGTGCAGTTACAAATAATCCATTCCAGGGTCACTTAATGATCCATATTGACTTCATGAGGTGCTCAAAGTAGGCACCCTTAGCTTCAAAGCACAGTTACTGTCTGGCGACTAACTCGTGGCCTACACATTTTTGAAGCCATCCTCATAGTGTGTGGCTAGAGAGGTGTTCACTGCAGACGTCAGCTGATTGAGATTCTGATGCAATAATCCTCTCAGATCTCTTTTATCCCAGGGGCGAATACAGCAAAACCAATTTGGGCCTTATCTGGGGAAAATGCTGCGTGGGGCAATGTTTCCATACCAAGTTCTGTTATTGTATTTTGGACAATTATAGAGGATCTGTGAGCAGGGGCGTTAACCTGGTGGAACCCATGGGTCGCTATTGACTTTGAGGATGTTGGAGTTTGTGGCTAGGGAGGTGTTCACTGCAGACATCAACTCATCGAGATTCTGTTGCAATATTCCTCTCAGATCTCTTGTCACCGTTGTTAGAAAATACATATAATTCAAACTGACAACATCAAGTTTCGACCATATCAACAGTTTTTATTCATCAAAGTTTTTATTTAATAATTCATCATGTAAACCCTTAAAGTTGCCCCGCGTACCCGTGACAATGGTTACCATAGTAACCATAACTTTGTCAATACTGAGTCGGTTGTCTGGAAATTTGGATAGAATAAGGTCAGATATGTGTCCCTTATTTTATTATAGTTTCATGGGGAAAAAAGCAAGATACCAAAAGTTACAACAAAATTAGCAATACCTATTGAACGCCCTGTATATTGTAAACGTGTATGTGTGTAAGGGTATTAATGGTTTTGATGAATAGTGCCAGTGTAATAAACTTTGCTCTTCATGCACTTGAATGGAACTCCCAAAAGCAAAATTACGTTTAGATATGGTTTTTAGAATATGCAACTTCCTCCACCTATATGTAGAAGTGAATCCATTTGAATTGCCTAAGGACTTGAAGACAAGATTCCATGTTTTCCATATGATTTGAGACTGAATGCTCCAGTTTTTATGAGTATAAGCATTCTTCTTGAGAGTGAATATCAGCTGAATGCATATAAACATACAACTTATAAACGATTAAAGTAAAATTTAATTAAATTTTGAGATAATTACAGTAACAGCATACCAAATAATAAGAAAATTATGCCGTAAATGTATCTGATTTGGTGGGTTGTTACAATATCAACATCAAGGACTAGAACACCAAGGAACTTTTTAGACTGAAGTCATTTCAAATTGAAAAAAATTGAGGCCAATATTCATAACATTAAAAAAGTTGTAGATACTAGCATAGGCTTTCAATTATTAGAGTTATAATTCAATTCTAGTTGAAAGCCCATGATACTTGTACAGGGTGACCCAAAAAATGCAACCCATGCAAAGTGGATTTCATATTATAGTACTAGTTTATATTATAAAAATAGTGTTGCTGTTTAATAGCATTGAAGTTTAAAAGTATGAAAGATATTTTTACAAAAAGCCAACTACATTTCATTGAGGGTAGATATATGTTTAGCTACTTATGTTCTGTTTAATGGAAGTCCGATAAACATGTTACTTCCCTTTATAAATTGATCAATAAAAGGCTACATACATACCAACTTTCGTCGTGTTATCTATGTTGAGGTCTGATGGTCTGCAGATCAAAGGACTAATGTTAGGTAGTTGTATCAAATCAGTTCATTCTTGGTTCATGGACCTTATGATTTCTTCTCTATACAAGTTAAAGTTGGTGCATTGAGTAATATGTGTTAAAGCGTTTTATTCCACATTTCTCAAAGAGGGAATCTCTCTTTCTTGAAATGACATTGATATAACTTTCGCCATTGTTCATGATTGTTTCAGTATTGTTTCAACTGGGTATTTTTGTTTCGTCTCCCATAACTGGCGTCTCTTAGTTGCTTTGTTGGAATTCTAGTTTGTACGGGTCTGTCGATCGGAGTCTAGTTGCATCTGATTGATTTGTTGTTTGCAAACTTTACTCCACAGACTGCTTGGTGGGAAATAACCATTGCATGTGGAGGTAAAACGATAATAATTTTCGAAGATTATATTTTCAAAGACATTCCAAATGTCCAGGGTAAGAAGCCCCTTTGTTTTAAATTGTTTGTTTTTACGTTATTTGAATGAGTTCTAAATTGAAATATTTCCTTCGTTATTGCAGTACATTTAATACACTCCTGCTCCATAAGTAAAATGGTGCTCCTTTAGATGTTAATAGTCACATGAATTTGTTAAAAAAATGTACAGCTTTATTTAACTCCCTCCCACAGCCCCCGAAGTTAGACGATTTTGGTGAAAACAAGCAAAAATTAAAATAGTTCAAATAAAAAATACAATGGAATGCAACACAAAATTTCAAAACTGTTCAGGGCTAGCATTGCATGTTAACAATGTGACTTATGACGTTATAACAGAGATTCGTGAAAGGTTGAAAATCAAAGAATAGCCGTTTAAAAGCAAACTGATCCATATAACCAGCATGAATCCTTGTTTGCCTTAAATGATTTCCATGTGTGTATTGCAAAACTCCTAGCTATCCTGATTACTCAAGAACAATTAATTGCTCTGAATGGTGTTGTTTACAATTTTATACATTGGTAAATTATTAATAGTGTTATTATGTAATATGGTAGAAGACGTATTGTTAGAGCTACAGAAATCATGAATTTGATAGATTAAATTGGTTATTAAAATGTCTATACCGCAAATTGTTTGATACATCACACAACTACCACAACTGGAGTATGAAATGGTGAACATGTGAACATACGTCAAAAGTTCAGAAATTTCGCTATTTTGGAAAAACACATTGGCTGACAAAATGGAAACATCCATCTTCAGATTGATATTTCTATTTTTCTTTGGATTCTATGTCAAGATTATTACCTGCAACCAATGGACAACAGGAATGTTTGCCACACCCAAAATAAATGTTAAACTAATTGATCAACCAATTGATATTATTCTGGACATTATTACATGGAATCATTGTCTACTGATGTGCGCAGTCGCAACAACATGTAAAGGATTTAACTACAATGTTGAATCCCCTAGATGTGAGTTATTTGAAACTGTGAATTGCACTCAACTTGAGAGTTCAGCTGGATGGCGATTTGGTCAGATTAAAACAGGTGAGATTTTTTTATAATATGCTATTCCTTTTTATCATATAGCAGAAAATTGAATACAGAAAAAACAGAAAGCTTACCGTAGAAATAATCCGGCGTTAATCCTGCGTTTTGCTCTGTTCTGACTTATTATTTAGGAGATATACAATTATAGGATTTTGAAGATATCTTATGCTAGGAATATGACTGTAAAAATGTAACATAAAAATACTTATACTCTTCTAGGGTTTCATTTGTATTTTTTAACCTTCATCATTTTTTCAGATAATTTAAAAATGATGAACAACCAAAATATAGCGGTAAATAGACCAACCTATCAATCGACCACGTACGAATATTTTCAATTAAGTAAATCTGGAAACGCTGTAGATGGTAATACAGACGGGGATTACATGAAAGGATCGTGTACAGCTACTGCAGAAGATACAAACGTGAAACCATGGTGGGTCATTGATTTGGGAAAGTCATATACATTGCTCCAGATTGTCGTATGGAATCGTATGGATGACGTTAGTAAGTAATATCTGTGTCAATTTATATCATACGTAGAATATGCACTACATGAAAGTTTCACTTTACACCATACTCCATGTTTTTTTTGCAATACGGAATATAGAATAATATTTATTCATTTGACTGTAGTCATTCCATAGCTACATGAAATGACATTTTCATTACAATTTGATTAATTCACCCATGCAAACTTAATTATTTGTTTCCGGTCATGTGCGTTGCAGAATTTTAAACATTACTGTGAAATGTCGTAGCTTTTTGGTTTCTTATCATCGAAGACAGGTAGTTTCATGATTTATTTTTACATGAATTGAGAGTGGCAGTCAGAGGCAAACAAACCCAGGATTTTCCAAAAGGGTGGGTCTCAACTACAAATAGCAGAACATATCGCTTTTGTTTCATCCAAGTCATATATTCTCTATATTCTCCTCAGCAACATTAACGAAATTCCCGGGGATTGAATCGATATTGTTTTCAAATCGCACCAATTCTTAATTTAAATTATGTATGTATATATATGATATAAGAGTATTAAATTGTTTATTGGACTTACCAGGTACCTGTTAAGGACAAGTACTCACCTGTCAAATCCCGATTTAGATCGGAAGAAAATCCCAGATTTTCTATTGATCATCCGGATTTATTTTTCAAAATCCCGATTTTAACCAGATTTTCGGGAAATATTCCGACTTTTTGTATAATATCCCGATTTTAAGAGAATATTGCGATTTTTGTAAATCCTGATTTTGTTCATAAAATATCCCGATTTTGTGTTCAAAAATCCAGATTTGTTATTGAGCCATCTCGATTTTTCAGTGAAAACTCGCGATTTTTAAATGGTACCCTTCGATTTTCGTTCAAAACTTCCGATTTGTTAATGACGGATGCCCTCGCAAAAAAAGAAACTATACGACAGATTTTGTGATAAAACAGTAGCTACGTGTAACTACACATGCAAATACACTTGTAAAGCTCTTTCATCTTCTTTTAAACCGATGTAAACCCCAATTTCCTCCCGATTTTTATTGTAAACTCCCCATTTTCACCTGATTATCGTAATCAATCCCAATTTTTGATAACCACACTTTCCTCCCGATTGTCATTGCAAATTCGCGATTTCTCCCGATTATCCTAAGCCATTCCGATTTTCCCCTAATTTTTTTTTATAGAAATACCGATTTTCTTTAAAAATTCCGACGTCTCCTGATTTTTAAAACAAAAATATCCCGATTTTTACTTTTAACTTGACAGGTATGCAAGTATCAAGACGTCAACAGTTCAGAAACTTGACCCTGTTAAACCATGAGATTGGTACTACAATAACGTCATTTCGAAGGGCAATAAAGTGAATTCGAACATGATTGTATATACGCCTTCTATAAATTGTTAACAAAGTCAATATTTCAGCTGGGATATATTCGCGATCAATACCCCTGGTAATATTTGAAATGCGTGACGTCGTTGAATTCACCCCTTAGGGCTAGGCACAAAAGATTTCGAACCCCTCACTCTCTTCGGTCGTTCGGGGTACAGAAAACGTTTGTTCCTAGCCCTGCGGGATGTATTCGACAATATTACCCCTGCTTTTCGGTCTATATTTCTTAAATATTGGACCGAGGGCCGAATGCTCAAGGTCCGATATTTCATTATATTACCCGAAGAAATGATGTTATTAGTATAATACCGAGGGCTGAAATAAAAAGAAAAGCTTACGCACTGAATATCTAATTTCCCGGGAAAAATTGCCGGGCGTTAATGAAAAATCCCGATGCGTTAATGCATTATTAGCCCTATGGCCCGCCACTATGACGTCACATATTGCTCAGGTCGATATAGTAAAATAAATGCCTTCTAAACTAGCACGAATACCCCTAATACAGACCCGGCGAGGTGGTAATAAGAAGTTTTTTTAAGACAAAAGTTATGCTTGGGATAATGGTGAACGTCAATACAGGTAGGACACGAGTTACTTTTAGTTATTGTAAATGTCCAAGTAATTCTATGCAATAGAATAACATGCTAAAATTAATTATTTACTTTGAAAGGTTATCGACTTCATGATTTCGCAATCGAAGTCGACTGTGAATTTGACGGATCAAACACCGATAGCCCATCCTGGTCTAGAACATACCTTTACACTGGGACGCCGGAAAGCAATCCGACAACGATTTCACTCCCACAGCCCTCTGTTGGACGATTCGTAAAGGTACAAAATGCAGTGATTAGTAAGTCTGAAGATTCAAATGATGATCTTTTGACGCTGTGTGAAGTGGAAGTATATGTCGAGAGTGCCGATGAAGATTGTGAATGTGAACTAGGAAAGTTCTAATTTCAAACGTATTATGTTAAGCTTCATCTAGTGAACTCCTTAAATATTAACCATGGTATAATGAACTATCCTCTCCCCATATAATGTAGTCTGTGTTTATTTAACTTTATTTTGCTGTATTTATTACTTCCGAATAGGTGCATATCATATATTACATAGAATCGCATTTTTATTAGATATATTTACTGATTTATTGAAAATAATTCAATGTAAATAGAGCTAACCGAGATGGTGAAACATTAGTGATTATATTGGAATTTACTCTTAATTACTTGTTTGTTACATACTTCAAATCATTCTATAAAACTGATAAAGATATGGATGTAACTTTGCAAACATCTGACAGACATGTTCAGGACATTTTAAAAAATTGTCGTGGATATATGACAACCAGATTTTAAATTCTACTACAATTACTTGGATCAAAACGCGGGCTGCGGCCTCAATGTAATATTGAAAACGATGTATCCAGGTCAATAAAAATCTTGTAATATGGCTTGATTGAAAGTGTATTCACTAATACTACAGGGTGTCCCGAAAGTATGGGGGCCCCATAGGCAGACATATACCAATGTCTCAATAGTATTTGTCATATATCATTTTAAAGCTCATTCAAAGTTACATTGATTTGCCAAATATCATCGTTCAACTCACAAATGGGAAAAAGTTACAGGTATTTCAAAATTTTGGGTTAAACCAAAATTTAAGTCAGTTTTAAACCAAAATAATAGTCGATATTTCTCCCTAGGCCATGTTAACAACAGCAATGCTTTCCATATATGACCTTAAATGCGCTTCAAATAGGTATGTGGCATTTTGCAATCCTTATAAAACCTTTTAAGGCATTTTTGAAGTTTCAACACAATATCCATCCCATCTTCGACAATAGCACCCATATTTTAGGTCACATTCAGGTCAGGGCTGTTTCAATAAAACTGAATTTAACTAAATTTTTGGCCAAACGCTAAGTTTTGAAATGCCTGTAACTTTTTACCATATGTGAGTTGAACCATGATACTTGGCAAATCAATGTAACTTTGGATAAGCTTTAAAATGAGTTATGACACATACCATGGAGACATTGGTATATGTCTGCCCAGGGGGAGGGGCATACAGTACGGCCCACGAGTAACTTTCATGTAAGGCCATGCTTCAGCGCACCTATAAAATTGGCGCACTGCATGGAGAAACTCTCTGTGTTGAAACTCTCTCAGCGACTCAGCGCGACGCTGTTTGCGACTCAGAGCATAGATACTCGCGCTATGTTATGAATAGCATTGCGCCATGGCCAATTTATGCCTGTCCCGTGTTACTATTAATTACCACTGGTCAATCAGAGAGCGTTGTGGCGTGCTGTACTAATACTCGGTCTTCAGCGCAAGTAATAACTTTAATTCAAACATCTAATGTATCACAAATCGTGTTTGCTTGTATCAATTTTTAAAGTAAGTCTAGATTTAAAAAATATCCTATTTACAGTACTGTAGATAATCAAAACACAGCACCTCTTTAGAAATCGCATTCAGTGCAAACTGCACCTAAAGTGTAAGGCTTATTTCAACATGAAAAGGCTAGATCACAACAATTTTCTGAGTCTACTAAGAAAAATAATATAAATAATATAATAAATAAAATAATATAAATGAATTGGCAACAAGCTATGATGTCACTGGCGAATCTAGAGTGGGGCGGGAGTAGTAAGGGGACATCTCCAAGGTGGTTCCGAAGCTGGAATTGCCAGACATTTACAAATGAAGGGATATAATCCTTTTTTATTGTGATACACATCCGCAGCTATAAAAACAAGGAAGTGAACGAATGGCGTAATCACGGGATGTCATCGTCTTATTTGGTCAATGTTAGGGAGCAGGTCGTTTTTACAAGATATTTCAGGATTTTCACACAATATGCCTTATTAGTTTAGGCTTAGGTTTAACCTTATTTTCACACAAACGGGTCTTTTATTGCCGAAAAGATCTGCGCAGAAATGTTTCAAGATCCAAAAAGAAGACAGTTTGTTTCAGAGTATGTCCTACCCTCCTTGCCAATGTCTAAGTCCGCCCCCGTGAACCACCTTGATAATGTCCCCTCCCGAATGTCCCCTTGTCACCCCACCCCATTCAGATCCACCAATTGTTTTAAACCTTGCCTATTAACATTATCATATAATCAAAACTGGCATCCGTTTTATTTTCTAACCATGCATGCTATGAAGGATGTAACAAATATACAGTGTAGAATGGTATATTGAACTTTTTTCTAAATGTTGATCTCAAAAAAATTTTTTGGGGTTTTTCAACACATACCGTTGACACAATAATGAATACACATTGTAACATAGAAAATTGGGGAAAATGACAATCCCTTTGATCAAATTATAAAGATTTAATCTCCCGCTTATGTGCAATTAAAGTGTTGATACACATAATTAGCAATCAGAAAGATGCATGCTCTAACCACTGCAGTTTATTAGATTAATGATTGAGTAAGATTAAAGTTTTCAATTGCCTTTGTTGTAACATCTTATTTCAAAAGAATGGATATTGAGAATTCGAATATGGTTGTATGGATGAAACATTCACATTACAGTTAACAGTGTTATTCCTTCAATAAATGCAACATATTTACCATTTTAGATTACATATTGGACTTTCTGCACAATGATAAATGTTGATAATATAGTTTTCGATGAAACCCCAGGGCCGTAGCCAACATGGCTTTCAGTTGGGGGGGGGGGGGGGTGCAATCGCCAAAATATTTTCGGTTTTCAATCAGGGGGTGCGATCGTGACATAAGTGAGGTATTTGTAGCTAGAAGCTTCAAATAAAAATCATTTTAACGTTTTCTTCCTCTACCTAATGGTTGTCTTTTATTTGTTGTGGTGGAGGGAGTGCGTTTGCACCTTTCGCCCCCCATCTTGCTACGCTTGTAAATCCAATTACAATTTCCAAGAAATCAACTTTATTAATTATGTGTACATATGTGAAAATGAGCTTGCATGTAGAAATTGCATTGTATGCAAACCTTCCTCCGACAGACCCAGTCGTGTTTATGTCTTTTGAATGATGTCAACCCCTTGATGCATGCATCTGTTAATAAGTGACGTTAAGAATATTGGTGGAGGGAAATGTCATAAAGATTTGACGTACATCGCGATATAGCCGCGCCCCATTTGTCTTTATCCTTCCAAACGCAAACGGCAGATAAGAGGGGCTCTCGCGTACCAGAATCTTTGACGTAGGGTTAACATGAATTGATTGATTGAAGTGATTGATCATTATTGATCTGATGTTTAATAAGCCACTTACAAGCTATAATTTTAAATATAGTTGATATCATGTTAATATAAAGTATGTTTTATCTCATAGGGAACTGACTTTTGTTATTTCAAAATTGAAATATGCCAAATTCCTATGAAATAATCAAATTACCACGCGATCTATTTCCCTGGATTTTACTCTATTTTAGATTTACTAGAAACATGTTTATTTGATATTATGATGATTGCGTTTGTTTCTCACGAGTTCATTGAAAAGTTCAGTAAAACTTCAGAGATCAAAAGACTAATTAGGCACCTGATTGCGAAAGTTTGATTGCATTTCGATCGCCGGGATTTTACAAGGGAAGCGTATTGTTTAAGTAGCGATCGTGTTCTTGGGATCTTGATAACTTCCTATTTTAATATAATTTGCATAAACATACCAGTTTTATATTGCAAAAAGAACTGTAATATATTAATAGCCTACATAAAAGCATCATGATAAACCATGACATCTCATGTCTGCTCAGCATGTTTCAGGTGAAACAGAAAGATGCTATGAGTATCAGAATGACATAAAAGGGTTTTGTTTGGTATTCAAAATAATTGTAAATAATATTTAATTCATTATACAATTGAATAATTATGATGCATCAATTAATACAATGTATATGAAATTTGTCTGCTTAATATAATATCCTTTTTACAGGATAGCGGGATGCTACGAGAGGGATAGCAGGAAGAGAGGCAAGGCCGAAGGGGTTGGTGCAAGCCTTCACTACAGACAGGAGTTAATGCATTATGGGATTCGACGCATTCGTTGAAGTTCTGAAAAATATTTGTTTATAATTAATTCAATGAATGCATTCGACCATTTGCAACCACAACTGACTTTCGAATCACAAGAGTCAGTGGGTTACTTGGCGTTCATACATGTTAATTTGCAGTTGTTTGTTTCACTGTTTATATTTGAAAGTTAATAATTAAGGGTTTGCGTTATCTTTCAGATATAAGAGAGATTCAGCTACACGCATTTAGCAAAACTTGAACGTGTGATATTGTGACCCTAAGCAACATTTTTCCCCCATCCAACGGTTTATAATAATAACAACTTACCTAAGATCTTTATACTAAACTAGTCAAATTTAAAGACAACTTTGAGAGATATACCCCCAGGGAAAAATAAGTTTTACGCGTTCACCTAAAGAACGTGTACATGGTGTAGCTTTATTACAGTTGGCGGCGATCGTGACAATTTCGAAGACAAAAAGCTCTATATTAGCAATATTGAAATAGATTTATTGTTTTTGGATATTACATAATATAAGCTTATATTGTTACAGTTTATAGTATGCTCTTTTATTAATTTTGATATAAAAATGTTTCACTGCTGCCGCTGCAGATGTTTATTTCTTATGAATATTTAGCAAATATATCATCCTATATTGTGGTGAATACCTGTACATCTTTCACAAGTGATACTAGTATTCCACGAGTCCCCCTGGCAAATCCTGGCTACGGGCCTGGGTATTAACCGAAAATAAATGAAATATTTGTTTTATTATATGACTGTCCAGCTTACATCCTCAATAATACCTTGGGAAGACAAGATTAATCTGAAAAATGTATTGAGCGTTTTGTGAAGAGAGAAAATTGGATATTAAATTATGATATAAACCACCCTATCAGTACAAAATAATTTCATGCAATGTTTTATTGCATTATAAAATTGAAGATTGTCAGTAATGGAACTGAATGGGGGGAGGTGAGATTCAGGCCCATGGTCAGTTTTTCTACATTTTGAGCAGTGAACACGTGCTTTTGGGCGAAAGTTGTCATTGTTAAATGTGACCCTGGAATTTTTCAAAAAGTGACCCCCTTGATATTTCTGCCGGACCTGACCTTCCAAAGAATTCTACCCTAGACGCACCGAGAAATGCTTCGCAGATGATTGACAGAACAAAATTAAGATTCCAAATGGCACCAGAACGATGAATTGTTATGCAACACGTTTTGGTGTTAAAGAGATGATCGGACGCTTATAATGTTCTCCTCTCCACGAAATTGTGGGGTTAAAAGTATGTATCTGATTCATGTACATTTTACTTTACCAATCTTTACATGATTTGCAAATCTCTAACACTCAACATGTACATGTATTAGCTGTAACTACAATGCAACATTTCAGTCCCCGAGTCAAATGATCAAAAATAATTATGTTTTCATTTACGCCTTCCTGCTTTACAGTATGTATGTAGGCTGCTATTGAAGAATATACCAATAAACTCATTTCAGCGGGTACCTTAGTCACAGTACTCTGTCCACAAACCGTAGCCTGTATTTCTTTAAAAAGAATACAGGCTGCAGTAAAGTTGCAAATGGAGGACGTTCGTTTATTTCCA